ATAGAGATGCACATATATATATATATATATATATATATATATATATATATATGGCAAATTTAAGACTTGTAAAAGACCATTTTAAGACCAATTAAAGAAAATGGAAGTAATAAATGGAAGAAAACACAATACATCAGTATGCTCTGTAAATGTACATTTCTAAAGAGCAGAATATGAGTTGTATTAGTGACAGTTTAACAACAACTTTATATTGCTTTTTAACAGATTTTACAAAAAAAAAGATGAATTGTTTTCCCATGCAAATGTTTAAAGATTCCTGAATCAAGATACACTGAGAAGCAAAATTACATAAGTCTTGTTTTCTGTCAAAGTGATCAAAACGACGTGATTAAAACAAGAACAATATCTGCCAATGAGGTCAGAAAAATCAACTTAATTCAGAAGGAAAACACATTTTCACACCCCAATGACAGATATTCTTTCCCCTTGCTTTAAGCATAAACTCATTTCATTTCATTCAATTTCTCAGAAAAGAAAAACTTCAGCTGTCCACCTCAGGTAAATGCATCTTGATTTAAGGCTGTTTAGGTATGTGCATCCAACATTTAATGCCATGACTTTCTTGCTTCCATTTAAGACCTTTTAAGTTTTTAATAAGTACAATTAGCTTTCTATAAAATGCATGTGCCCATTGAGATAGCAAGGTAACTGTGCGTTTGTTTGGATCTGTAAAAGCATTTACCAAGCGTGCCCAGGGTAAATACCAGCCTGCGTCCCGGGTCTGTCTGATGAACCTCGTGGGCAACCCTCACCATCAATCCCAACCTCACAACCAATAAAGGCCAAAGCCACTGCATCAGGAATCTCATAAATCACTCTCATAATTAACAGTGTGGCATCAGATCCATAATAGTGAAACAGGACACTTATGAAGCCAATCTTCTTATGCATAATTATGATGGCGCAAAGCTAATAATAATGAAGTCCTCACATTATATTATACTGTAGTTCATGCCATCCATTCAAAACACCTTCTTTGTCCAAACATAAGGCCTGATTATTGAAATATGGTATTAGTTCACCAATCCAGCACTTCTGAAGTGCATGTGCTATGACAAAAGCATTTATGATTGGGTTATTCTTCGTGTATGCATCATCAAATTACACAAAACCGAGCGCTTGATAAAAAGTATGTTAAAGCTGTATTGTCATAAAATTAAACAATGCTATAAATCTATTAATTAATGAATCAGCATCAACTCTGATCTAATAAGCATTGCCATATCTGATAGTGTTCGTGATTATAAAATAAGAAAATAAATCACTGCAAAATCTTTGGTTGAGTCTCATGGTTCAGATTCTCAGCACCAATAGCACAATAATGTACTGTATATAGCCCATGTGCTGTTCAGATGTGAGTCCTGTTGTCTTGTGGAAGTGTGTAAACAGCATCATGCTCAAATTCATGTCAGCATCACTCTGTCATGCGCTTCGTGATTGGAGGGAAGAGAGGAAAGCTCAATGACGCCAGAGATAGAGAAAGAGATCCCACCAGTCGCATTGGAATTTAACACACAGAGAACAAACATAGTCGAGATTGATCAAAAGACATCTTTAAACGACTGACACGCGTTTGTAGAGCGCTCACTCACACACACACACACACGGACAATAAAGCTCAAACACACCTACCTGGGACAGTATGAGCTGTCTGTGAATCATACTCTAACTCCAAGCGCGATCCTAAAAGCCAAACGCGATAATCCCGCGCGGAAAGATCCGGTGGAAATCCATGAGAGCAGCAGAACGCACAGCGCGGTGCGATGAACGCCACTCTCTCCTGCATCAGCA